AAATTAAAATATAGTAATGATTTATTCAGTAAGAAAACTCTAAATATCAGCGTTTCAATAGATGCTTGCATATTTGTGTTTCATACCTACATGTATGAGAGCAGGAGGAACCCTAGGGTTATCTATGTTGCCTAGGCACTTATAATCAATAATGAACGGAACTTACAAAATTAGTCATTTAGTCAATTGAACAATTTTTCCACTCTCAGAGTGACCAACTGTCTTGGTTTGTGTGAAACTGAAGGGTTTCCTGGGAGGGGGACTTTCAATGCTAAAACTAGAAAGAATTGGTCACCCTATTCATTATCAACCAGGCATTTCTGGGTTATCTGCTTACTTCAGGAGATAAAAAGTTGACCATGCAAAAATTAATTGAAGAATTCTGTGTTAAAGTGGGTGATACTGTCTCCAAGTATAATAGGAGTTCCGCGAAAGAAGATCAGTGTGGACTACAGTTACTGTAGAGAGTTTCACCAAGTAGGTGGGACTGGGTCCAAGTTTTGTGACTCGCAATACTGCTTCCTCCTTTACAAGAAATGTTATTGTGCTTTTTGTGCTCAGGAACATGAAAGTGACTTAGAATACACATATTTCAAATTTAGCAGAAAGGGCCGAAGAATAAGAGATTAGTTTAAAAATTAAGTTGATTTAAAACTTTTCATTTGTATATTTAACCAATTAACATTTATTTTTATAATAATAGATGATAAAGATAAAAAAGTAAGTAATATGCATTTCTTGCCTTTTATATGTTTACTCTCTCATGAGGTGTATGAACATTAATGTGTAAAATGGTAAATTCTACTCTATGTGAGAAGACATATGATAAAAATATTCAGAGAGTTTGGGGCACCCCAAAGAGAGAGATGTGTGAGAAAATAAATTGGGGTTCAATAACTAACTGTATCTTTTCTATTGATATATTTAATATCAAAACCTGTTGGTGGACTTTTTTAGTTTTAGGATAGCCAAATGAAGTAGTTTGATTAAAGATACTTTGTAGGGAAATACTCATTTAAGGGGAGAAAAATCCCACTGAATATTTGAAAGTCTAATCACTCATTTTTCTATTTGTTAACATGCACCCACTATACTACCACAGGGCAAACATAAATAAAAGCAGACGAACTTGTCAAGGACCATGTAGAGATGACTACAAATGCAAAGGATATACATTTAACAGACTCAGTGCCCCGGAGCCCTGAGCTTTGGCATTTCCTCATCTGGGGGCTTGCAGTATTAGTTAGAGGTTAAATAACTAATGGCCTGGCTTTCTGTATTTCATTAATGGGTTAAATCACAGAAAGTTTTAAAAATGGAGAATGCTAGATCTTCATGAATTATAGTTGCTATTGCTGATAATGAGAGAGAGAGGGAGGGGAGAGAGATACTAGAGCCTTATTAAAGATGAATAAGATTTAAGATCTGGTGGGGTTCAACAAAGAAATTCATGGCCTAGTGCAACTGCCAGATATGCAAAATCAATACTACATTACTGGATATAAAAGGGGGTAAGAGAATAAAAGAATGAAATAAACACTGAGTATGAAATCAACTAACCTCACAATTCAAGATGTAGGATGGCAATCAAGTTTGGGAACCAAAGAGTATGATAAACAGAAAAGCCATGAAAATTAAAGTCCATCTTATTGACATGAACAATATTTTTGAAAATAATTTGTCAGCATAATATTATCTGTAGATATATATCAAAACCCAAAAAGCAAAACAAACAAAATTCAGACCAGCTCAGGGAGCAGAGATACATCACATGAATAGCTGATAGACAATATAAGACTGTGCACTGTGAAGTGTACAGAGAATTCAACCCCTTCACCTTAGAAAGAGTTTGATTTCCCCAAACTTCCTGAGGGGTCCAAGATCATGGCCTGATTCCATCTTACATGTAGACTACACACTTGACATCCAGATTTGTCTGCTGGCCTGTGAGAGCCTGGACCATTTGCATTCCGGAGAAGAGGAAGAAGAGAGGCAATAGTGATAACCTTTCAATTGTTCCAAAAGCCTGTGAATTAAGAATCTGATACAGGGTGCAGACAGGGGGGCCCCCAAAGAAAAGATCTAGAAAGGTGTCCAGAATTCAAAGTGTATAGAAATATTGGAGAGACATATAAGATGTCCTCACCCCTCCCCCTCAGGGGGAAGAAATGAATGGAGCCAGGCCATTGAGAGCTATTTTGCATAGCAACAGTTTTGGAGCTAACCTCTGGAGGAATGGTTATTTAACATATCTATAACCTTTAACTGGTTTCATAGATATGTTAAATAGCAGTGGCCAAGTTTGGAGCCAAGCAGAAGGGACTCAAGATGGAAACTAGGGGCTGCGCTCCTGAGTGAGAAGGGCTTGGACTCAGAATGTAACAAGGGGCTGCGCTCCGGAGTGAGGAGTGCCTGTGTGGGAGCTTGGAAAAGACTGGCTCCGAGACATGAAGGGTCCCCGCTTGGCCAGATGAGAGAGAGCCACGCGGTTTCAGCAGAGTGAGGGCCCCCTCTAGGTGAGGTGAAAGAGTGAGCCACGTGGTTTTGGCAGGGTGTGGACCCCCTCTTTCCCAGGTGAAAGGGAAGAACCACGCAGCTTTGCCAGAATGGAGATCCCTGCAGCCAGGTGAAGAAGAAAGCCACATGCTTTTGGTGGAGTGCGGACTCCTGCAGCTTTGGTAGAAGAGGCCCATGCGGCTTTGGGGTGCCCCCTTTGGCCACGGGGCCTGAAAAAGCAAGAGAGACTTTGACTGGAACTGGGTACAAAGGACTCTTGCAGTGGACCATGAGAGGGTACCACAGTACTTTGGATTAACTCGAGATCCTGCACAATGACAGAGCTGACAATGCCAGCGGCCTGCAATACAGACGTGTGCTCTTTTCCTGATTTAACGGTACCCGGAGTTGGGACAGTGGGAGAAGGGAGTGCTGTGTGGGTGTAGGTGTACAACCTAAAGGACTTTGATATTTTAGTGGTGGCATTAGGCCTGAATAGCATTAAATAAACATTTTGTTTCCTTTTCACAAATCTCTGGCATTAAGAGATGTCTTTCCAATTGGCGGCGGACAGAAGAGCCCAGTAGATTTTAGTATTTTGTTTTCGGGAGGGGCCCCTGTTGTATAGCAGTTTTGGGCATCCCTAGGTGGGTCAAATATTGTATTGCCCCTCCCTCGGTCCTCTTGTTGTTCGCTAACAAATCTACCTACCTCTATTTGGGAACAAATGTCCTTGTGTGGGTCATAGGTTTTCTACCCAAAGGTAGCCAACTCTGGAAAAATAGCATGATCAAAAAAGGATGCATCAAGTATTTATGTTCCATTTCTTGGAAACTGGCATTTGGGATCTGCCCCTTCATTATAGCCTTATATGCATCTTGCTCTGTGATTTTTGGGTGAGTTGTCCTGGTCTCTATGGGATATTTCTCTACTTTCTACCTGGCTGTGCACACCTGGGAGTAGCATTCTCTGCACTGTAGTCTGAAGGTTCTGGGATCTAACAGCATGAGGTCAAACCCTGTGTCTGCCACTGATCAGCTCTGTCCTTCTGGACAAATTATTTAACCTTTCTAACTTTGTTTTTTCTTGGGGATGTTAACAAGAACACATCACAGAGGGCTGAAAAATTTATGTATGCACAGTACTTAGCACAGTGCCTGACATGCCGAGAGTACTCAATAAATGTTATTTTTTACATGCTGTCTGGCTTATAAATATCTGATTTGCTGCACTCCATACATGTGACAAGGATAAAGCCATTTGAAGGTGCTTCCTGAGCCCACTGCTAAGGGCAGAAACCCCACTGTCCCAACTAAACCCTCGATTGTTTTCATACCAATTACTCGGCAGAAGCATAATAAACAGTTACACATTAGACATACAGTTCTCAAGTCTTCTGTCTACTGACTTCAACTTCATACAATTCCAGGACCAGAACACTGTAAATTAGGGCTTTTTTGTTTTTGACAATTTTCTTTAGAATGAGGCTCCTGGTGTGAACCTGAGTAGCCAAATGTGGACCTTAGACTTGGTGATCACTGAGCAGCTTGCAGTGTAATAGACCAGAGTAGAATAATGTGTGATCCCAGCCTATGATAAGTAACAATTTAAGTGGGCCCCCAAAAGTACTTCTCAAACCCAAAGGGCATTGTACCAGGCAAAGTGTCCTGCTTTAAATTTGGAGGCAAGCTATCAAAGCTCTTTTATCAGCATTTCCTCTGTCTCTTATATTTATTGGGGGGAAAATAAAACTAAAATCCCTTCATTGGTTTGTTCCTTCCCCTGGCTTCCTGTGTTTGCACAAACATGCCAATCAGTTCAAAATCCTTTTTTATACCTTTCATTTGATCAGAACCAAAAAGGACGTAAAGAAAGCCTCCTTCCTCCTTCTCTCAACCATCTCTCTGTGTCTGAGTTCCAAGCCACAGAGTGCGACAATGGTGAATCGTGTCCACTCCACTCATTTGCACTTTGTAGATCTAAAACTGTTTAAGTTACAATAACACTCCCTAAGCCCTCTGTACAAATAATTCACATTTGCAACCAAAAAGAGGAACTGAATTTAATACCAGTCCTTTAGGAGCTGAAAGCTGTTGCTCAGTCCTTTGCAAAGAGACTGATTTAATTAAGATGTTTTATGTTCACTTTTGCACATTTAAATATAAGAATATAAACATCTATAATATTAAGTGATTCTTTCTTTAGAAGCATACTATCTCAAAAAAAAAAAAACCAGACTGGCAAATTTTCATTTACACAAGTTATTCCAGCATCAAGTGCAGAGTCATTAGCTGGCAGACTTCACTTTTTTCTCTGTAAATTAGCAGAATGTGAGTGAGCCAAGGTCCATAAAAAACCTCACTGATTGCTTCTCCTGGTTTTGCCTTAAACCCTCAGGGCTCAGATATTCGACACTACACTTATACATATTTGCACGAAAACGATGGTGCCTTTTCTTTTTCTCTTTTAAAAAAAAGACTTATTTATTTATTTATTTATTTATCCCATGTCACACCACCAACTGAAGCGAAACGACACGACCTGCTGCTACGTCATCCAAAAGCGGTGTTTTCACTTTGCCCTTTCTTGGAGGCTCAGTGGGTCATTAGTGAAAGGCACGATGAGTGCTTTTCAAAGGGGCTGTTTTGTTTTTTTTTTTAAATCAGAACACCTAGAAGTTTTGACAAGTGAGAGGTCAGTGTTTTTCTAAAGAGACATTTGCTTTAAAATGGTGAAAAATAATTAGACAGGAATGTGAGGTCCGAGCTTGGGAGCCCTCGGCAGGCCCTGGCAGAAACTGTTGGTGCTGTAAGAATCCATTCTGAAGGTGTGGCCAAAAAATGTAAGTGGAACATGGCCCTGGCCCCACCTGCTGAAAAGGTTTCTGGGCTGACTTAAAAGGCACACTTGAGGTAGGAAAGGGTGACAGGCTGTTGTGGAGCCAAAAAACATAATAACTCTAGGTCAGGAAATTAGGAACTAGTTTTAATCCCAAATCTGTGTGACCCTGGACAAATCACCACTCCTGAGGGCCACACTGCCCGGTCTGTGGCACAGAGGTGTCCTGCTGCAGTGATGCCCAGTGCCCACGAGCCGTGGCGCTCTTCCTTACACTCTGCTAAAGAACACAGAAATGCAGGTACAAGCCAGTTTCTTCCAGAGAACTTGGAAGCCAAGCAGATTTATTTTTTAGAAGGTGAAGGGATTAGCCAAAGGACATATATGCATAACCTACAGACACAGACACCAGGATAGTGATGACCAGAGGAAAGAGGTGGCAGGGGCCGGGTGGAGGTGGGCAAAGGTAGGGCAAAATGAGAACATCTGTAATAGTGTCAACAATAAAAATAAAGGAAAAGAAAAGAAAGGATAAAGGTAAAACAAGAGTGAATTACTTGGAAACCTCAGAGATTTATTGTTAGTATCGTATTGTGACACTCACATGGCTAATGGCAGTAAGTCAGCATGCCACACCCCTGAGGTACAGAGCCATGGGCTGGGCTCCCCTCCCTTGTGCTGGCTCCCTTCCTGAAGGAAAGACTTTTCTAAGAGATAGCTTGATGGAGAAGTTTGACTGAAAAAGTAAAAGTTGAACTCTCATCTGTAATTAGGAACCAATAATGTCTGCTTTCTTAAGGGTTTGTTGCAAGGAGCAATAGAGTCTTAGTGAATATAAAGTGCTTTATATGAACTGAAAGGAGGATTGAGATGCCAGAAACGGTCTGTACTCACTGGAGACATCACAGATGGACCATGAAGGCACATGTACATGAGATAGGAGGGGTGAGACTCTTGTGCATAAAGGTATAAGACCATGAGATAGGATGAGTGAGACCCAGGTCTGCAGTTGCTCGCAACCCAGCAGAGAGCTTGGCATGTCATCAATGATCTATAACTATTTGCTGAAGGAATGCATAAGTAAATGCTTGAATGAGTGAGTGAGTGAATGGTGGAACGAGGCTAGACAACAGGATTCTGGATGATGAGATCCAAAACAATGAGCTTCATCGAAACACCTATTTCAGCCCAGAGCACTGGTGCAGGTACCATGTCTGAGAGGGACAGTTCCAATAGCCGAAACACTGACGACCCCTCTCAGTCATGGGAAGCAGAGTGTAGAGATTCGAAGCAGGGGCTCTCATTACCTGGGTCCAAATCCCAGAGCTGATCAGATATCTGAGATGCTTGTCATTTTTTCCTAACCCTTTGTGCCTTAGTTTCTTCATCTGTGATATGGAGAAGAGGGTGGTGATGAAGATGGTAATGGTGGTGATAACTACCTTACAGTATTCTTATAAGGTTTAAATGAGTCACTGCATACAAATGCATAGCTAGTTCTTGGGTAATAGTAAGTACCCTGAACACTGATTACTACATTTGGACAATAGAGAATCACTGGAACCTAATTACTTGAATATATATAAATTTATAAATATTTTTTGAGAGATAAAGTAGGAGGTCAAGCCCGGAGAAGTAGAAATGCTTAGTATTTGAAGTCAGAAAAACAATGCTCGAAAAGTGCCTTTTACTGACAGAGGGCACTTGTACATGTCAGTTATCCTTTTTTAAGACCCAATTTCTCACATTTAAAGTGAGAGGTGGAACCCCTACTCACTGGGTTGGGCGTTGTCCTACAAATCAAAAGGTCCCTGGTCAGAGCGCGTGCCTGGGATGCAGACCAGGTTCCGGGTTGAGGGTGTGTGAGAGGCAAACAACTGATGTTCCTCTCCTCCTTTTTCTCCCTCCCCAGTCTCTAAAAAGAAATAAATACAAATCTCAAAAACATAAAGAGTATCTTCGCCAGTTTGGGCTGCAATAACAGAAATATGATAGAGTAGGTGGTTTAAACAAGAGAAATTTCTTTCTCATAGTTCTGGAGGCTGAGAAGTCCAATGTCAAGGTGCTGGAGAGGGCCTCTTCCTGGTTCGCAGCACACAGCTTTCTTGCTGTATCCTCCTATGACGGTGTGGGGCAGAGAGAGAGAGAGAGAGAGAGAGAGAGAGAGAGAGAGAGAACATCTCTATCCTGTCTAATCTTTTGAGGGTACTAATTGCATTCATGAGGGCTCCACCTTTATGACCCTGTTTCCTCCTAAAGGCCTGTCTCCCGAGTACCATCACACTGGGGATGAGGGCTTCTTCATGTGAGCTGGGGGGTGGCACAAACAGTCGGGCCATAACAGGCAAAATAATGACCCCTCACAGGATTGTTAGTAGGGTTAAATTGAGGAATGTACGTGAAAGGGATTTTTAAACCTTTAAGACTACTCAGATATCAGTGGTTGGAGAGCAGCTGAGTTGGCCTTTTTTGCCTGTTCTCAGAAACTGTTCTAGTGACTACCACTGCATTGACTTCAGTTATGAGCACCATTCAGTCATTCAGTTATTTGTTCCTTTTTGTATTCCAATCAATATCTTTCTTCTCTTGGCCATTGGTTTGGCATCAGGTAGCATTAGCTTGTGTTGTATGTGGCTGTGCATGTCCAAATGTATACATTAAAGGAAATCTCTTAAGAATGGTTTCAAGATCAGCTTATTAGTATAATTAATTTTAAACTCAATGCTTCTACTGTGCAAATTTTACCACTATCTACATAATACTTTCTGCTCTCTGGCCTGTAAGTCATTGTGGATGCTTTACTTCAAAGTCAAGTTCAAGATCTACTTCTCTAATGCAGTCTTTCCTTGACTATTGAGATTTGCAGTCCCCCCCCACGAGCATTACTTGTTTGTTCTACTCCCTGCTGCCTGCTGCCTCATGTCATACCTTCAATTCCCACATTTATTGAAATTTATTAATACTTAAAAACATCCTCCATCAATCTTTAATTTTATATCATGCTTTGTTTTTGTTTACTGGATTTATTGTTATTTAACGTATATTGTCTATTCATTTATTTTGGCTTTTAATCCAATGATATAAGTACCTTAAAGGCAGAAATTTTGTCTGTTTTATTTATTGCTTTATCTTTGTCACCAAAAGAAAGTGTCCAGCACAGGATATTATCAGTCTTTGTTGAATGAATGACTGTGGTTACTGAGGCTTTTAGGCCTGTTCGTGCTCTCGGCACTTATACCCAGGGTCTCGCTGGTAGATAAATAGGCACATTGCTCTTGTCTCAGCCTCTCTTTTTGCCAGGTGAACAGTATGCTACTTCCTGCCTGTCTTGCAGAGATGTTGTCATGATGACTGAGTGGTGTTCAAGTTCACTGATTAATAGTTCAAGTGCCCTCAGAGTGCAAAGTTCCAGTTTGTGAACTTGTTCTGTGGTTATTTGGACTTAAACAAAAAGCATGTAATCAGAAGCTACATTCAAATGTAATAGTGTGAAATGTGTCAGCTTGATTATCCCCTGTGACAGACAGAACAAATTAACCTTCACTGTTTTCCTTCTCCAGTGGTCCTGTTCCTGCCCACTGTATATTGCTCCATCTAATCTTTAAAAAAAACTGTGAACCTGGATAGCAGTGGGAGCCCCAAATTTAACCAGGACTACAAGAATTGATTTCCTTGTCTCCCTGTCCCTGCCGTACACCATTCTGGCTCCTCAGCAGGGCAGTAATAGTGAGATGGTGAGCAGGGGCCACCGCATGGGCCAGAGCACTGTGTGTAGCATCGTGGGATTCTAAACCCTCTAGGCCCTGGCTTTCTGCAGACACAGCCAGGTGACTGCACTGAAACAATTCCATCCAGGTACTTGAATGTAAACTCCAACCAGCAGGCTCACTTTCTCAGACAGCACATTGGGCTTTTTTCCCATCAGCTCTACGGAGAATAGGGGAAGGAACCAAAGAAAAACTGGGAGGTGCAAAACATTTTGAGAGGATACACCACTTTCTTTGTAGTTCAAAGTCCCCAGGCCCTTTGAACTCCCTTCAGTACCTCTCTGCCTCTTTTCCGTATTCACCTATTTGTCTTTTAATTACTCATTTATTCACTTAATTCACTTCTTTACTCAGCATACGTTAATGGGATGCCTACCACGTGTGAGGCACCAAGATATATAATAGCATATAAGGGTGAGCATATCAGATACAGCTTCTGCCCTCAAGTTCAGGGTGAAGAGTTCTGTGATGCTCCATTTTCCAAGGGCCTCTTTCCAACCAGCACTGTGGAATTCAGCTTGCCCGATGGTCTGATCTGAGAGTGTGTGTACAGAAACAAAATAACAACATGTTTTGTTTCCCAAGAAGCTCACAGTCTAGGAAAGAAGAAAAGGGCTGTAAACAACAACAAAAAATACAAAATAACCCTCCCCCCAAAAAAAACAGTATAAGGGAAAGGAAATCATGATTAAGTTCAGAGACTGAAATAAAAGTAAGATGCTATAGATAATCAGAGAAAGGAGAGTTTCCTTTCAAGGGCTGGAAATAAAGAAGGAAGTGCCAGGCAAGGCTTCTTGAAAAAGGGGCTAATTCATCTGGAGGCTGAGAATGTTTGGAATTTCTTATGGCTGACAAGGCAATTTCCTGAACTAAGGGGAAAAAAATGTGACAGAAAAAAAGCAGAGTCTGTTTAGCTGATTCACAGAGGAGTCCCTGGAGGCCTTTGGACTGATTGGTGACTGATTGCTGAGACCAGCTCCCAGAGAGGCTGTTCTCAGTCCTGAGGGGGATGGGCTGGAAGCAGCTGAGTCTGGG